CAGTTCTGGAACCGAGCGCCGCTCCGGGTAACGCCGCGCTGCCGGGGGCGTGTCTCTGCTCCGCGCCTCCCGCCCTCGCCCCGTGAGCCTCTCTGACCCCTCCTCCTTTCCGGAGTCCCGCGTCTCGGCCGCCGCTCCCAGCCCACCCGGGATAATGGCGACAGCTGAGGGTGAGTAACGGGCATCCAGGACTCCGCCGGGGCCTCCTGTTCTCCACGGCCTGCCTGGCCCCGGGTCTCGGGCTCCTGGTCCCGGCGCGGACACGTGCGCCCGGGTGGTCCTGACCCCAGCTTCCCTGGCAATGCCGGATCTCCTGGTCCCCGCCCCTCCAGGCCCCCGCGCGGGCGGACACGTGGCCCGGCGCCGCGGTACCGAGCCTTGTAAATAAAGCGCCCCCCGGCCTTCCGAACTTCCCGAAACACCCAGGACTGCGCCTGGGATGGGGTGAGGACGGAAGGGAAGGGAAGGGATAGTTAGAACAGAAATGGCCAGCGCGTGAAGAGGTGCCTGGAAGTCAGTTTTGTAATCAATAGGTACTGAAAAACAAACACTGGAGCATCTCGTGTTGACTCTTCAAACTAGGTGACTCTTCTTGTTAGGTTAATAATAACCTTCTATTCCAGAAAGTTAATCATTGAACCTTCTGAAAAATTTGCTATTTTCTGCCCCGATTTGGGGTGTGTTTTTAAAGTAGCCTTGTAATGCCATGATGGCTTTGGAGAGCTCTGAAACCACCAGGCAAGTCCACTAATTTGTAGCAGGCATTTCGGTACTTGTAGCATGTTTCCCATGATTAAGATATTTCTACCCATAATTCCTACCCTATTTAATGACTAGGTTACAAAGTATTGATTCAACTAAATTGGGAAGGAGGGGCAGTAGGTACAAACTTCATTTTCCCTTTTATCTAACCTAGGCAACATCTTGACTTTTTCCTGTCTCTGTTATCTCCCACAATGAATCAATTGTTCTAAAAATTTTTACCTTTTAGCCCAGCTGGCGTGGCTCAGTGGTTGAGCATCGACCTACAAACCAGGAGGTCACACTTCAATACCTTTTTGGACAGTGTTGCTAAATGGTTGAGCATCAACCCATGAATGAGGACGTCATGGTTGGATTCCTGGTCAGGGTACATGCCCGAGCTGCGGGCTCGACCCCCGGTGTGGGGCATGCAGGAGGAAGCCAATCCATGGTTGTCTCCTCCTCTCCCTCTCCCTCTCTCCCCCCCCCTCTCCCTTCCTCTCTGAAATCAATAAAAATAAATTTAAAAAATTTTTTTTTACTGTTTAAATATCTCGAGTCTTTTTCCCATTACTTTTTTTCCTTAGACCAGGACGTTTCTTGCCTGTGTTGCTGCGACAGTATCCTAACTGTTCTCCGTCTCTCTCCCCTTCTTTTTTTTTTTTTTTAGAATCTTACTTGGCTTTTTTATTTTTTTTATTTTTTTATTTTTTTTATTAAATCTTTATTGTTCAGATTATTACAGTTCCTCTTTTTCCCCCCCATAATTCCCCCCACCTTCTGCCCTTACCGCCCCCGCCCCCCCGAAACTGTCCTCATCCATAGGTGTATGATTTTTCTCCAGTCTCTTCCCGCACCCCCCACACCCCTTTCCCCCCTGAGAATAGTCAGTCCACTCCCTTTCTATGCCCCTGATACTATTATATTCAC